GAGAGAGAGAGAGAGAGAGAGGAGAGAGAGTAGGGGAGAGGAAGGGAAGGGGGTGAGAAGGACATAGAAAGGGATAAAATGAGAATGAGAGAGAGGGAAAGTAGAAAGCGAGCGGTAATTAGAAAGGAGGAAACAGGGAGTAGAGATGGAAAGTGTGTGTGTACATATATATAAACAAGTATACATATGTATATCTATCTATCTATCTATCAATATATATGTATATATATATATATATATATATATATATATACACACATACATACATATATATCTATATACACATGCATACATATTTTTTTTTCTTTTTTTTTACATATACACACTCATAAGTATGTATGTGTGTGCGTGTGTTTATGTGTATGTATGTACACAGAAGCGCACACTTCCCGCCCATTCCCTATCCTATCCTCTCATTCCGCGCCCTCAGCCGCCAAAGCCGGCGGCAGAGCCGAGGGCGCCATAACTCCACGGGCGCGTCTGCGCGCACGCACCGGAATCGAGGGAATAACGTTTAGGTGAAAAAGGCAAGACTCTACGTGTGGCAATACTCACCGAGTGTGATCTCGAGCAGCTCTTTAACGACCACCTCAGCGACGACCTCCCAGTAAGACGGCGCATGAGTGTCCTGGAAACGAGCGAGGAGGTCGTACCGGCCGGGATGAAGGTACGTGTGCTGGAGCGTGAAAGCTGTGTGCGTGCGCGTGAGCGTGCACTTCAGGTCGTGCCGTGATGACGTCACCCCTTCCAGCCAGGGGGCTGATTCTTGTGACGTCATAGGCGTGTATGAGGTCACGCCAGCCGTCGGGTCACCCCCGAGGGCCTCGTCTTGCCCAGAAGGGTCAGACTGCGTGAAAGGGGCGCCGGTCGTTCCATCTGACACTCCTTCGTCCTCAAGTGACACCTGGCATCGTCCTGGGCCTTCGGTGACCCCGTCCGGCGCGAGGTCAGAGGTCGTGACACGGAAGCGCGCGGTCGTCCCGTCGCCGGCGGAGACGCTGAGGACGCCGTCGACGGACGAACCTGAAAAGACGATTTGTGTTTATATTGATTTAGATTAGAGGAACAAGAATGTACTTATCATTTTTTTTTAGATTTAATGAAGAAAAACAACAACAAGAGACGCAACACAATCATTGCAATAAACATGTGTATCTATATCGACACCAATTCTAACTAGTTTTCCGCTTCTAGAGAGAGAGAGAGAGAGAGAGAGAGAGAGAGCAAGACACACAGGCGGACAAAGAGAAAGAGTGAGAGAAAGAGAGAGAGAGAGAGAGAGAGAAAGAGACAGAGAGAGAGAGAAAGAGAGAGAGAGAGAGAGAGACAGAGAGAGAGAGAGAGAGAGAGCAGGGAAGGAGAGAGAGAGGGAGAGAGAGAGAGAGAGAGAGAAAGAAAGAGACAGAGAGAGAGAGAAAGAGAGAGAAACAGATTTTCTTCTGTCTGGAGGCGCGACATAGGCCATTGCAACAACCGCAGCAAGGGAATTCCGACAGCCTCACCACCTGCGGCAACGTTGCATAATGCGGTCACGTGATGCTGGGAATGAGATGCACTTTCGTGTCGTCTCGATTTTTGCTGTTTTAAGTGATGAGGAAAAATATTATCAATGCGGAGGTGATTAGGACCATGGGAGGGACGGTGGGAGTGGAGAGGGAGGGAAGGAAGGAGGGAAAGGGGGAGGGAGGGAAAGGGCGAGGGAGTGGAGAGGGAGGGGAGAGGGAGGAAGGG